AATGGTCCCAAAGTCACCTGTGGGTGGTTCAGGTGTGTGGGGAAGGGGTTCAGAAGGTCAGGAGACCCCAAAAAAACCCTAAATGGGGTTTTGGGGTTGTGGGGTTGCCCTAAAAGGGATTTTGGGGTCGTGGGGTAGTTCTTAAATCCCATAAAATGCACCCAAAATGGTCCCAAAGTCACCTGTGGGTGGTTCAGGTGTGTGGGGAAGGGGTTCAGAAGGTCAGGAGACCCCCAAAAAAACCCTAAATGGGGTTTTGGGGTTGTGGGGTGGCCCTAAAAGGGGTTTTGGGGTTGTGGGGTGGCACTAAAAGGGGTTTTGGGGTTGTGGGGTGGCACTAAAAGGGGTTTTAAATCACTTAAAATGCACCCAAAATGGTCCCAAAGTCACCTGTGTGTGGTTCAGAAGATCAGGAGACCCCAAAAAAAACCCTAAAAGGGGTTTTGGGGTTGTGGGGTGGCACTAAAAGGGGTTTTGGGGTTGTGGGGTGTTCTTAAAAGGGGTTTTAAATCACTTAAAATGCACCCAAAATGGCCCCAAAGTCACCTGTGGGTGGTTCAGAAGGTCAGGAGACCCCAAAAAAAACCCTAAAAGGGATTTTGGGGTTGTGGGGTTGCCCTAAAAGGGGTTTTGGGGTTGTGGGGTGTTCTTAAAAGGGTTTTTAAATCCCATAAAATGCACTCAAAATGGTCCCAAAGTCACCTGTGGGTGGTTCTGGTGTGTGGGGAAGGGGTTCAGAAGGTCAGGAGACCCCCAAAAAAACCCTAAAAGGGGTTTTGGGGTTGTGGGGTGGCCCTAAAGGGGTTTTGGGGTTGTGGGGTGGCCCTAAAAGGGGTTTTGGGGTTGTGGGGTGTTCTTAAAAGGGTTTTTAAATCCCATAAAATGCACTCAAAATGGTCCCAAAGTCACCTGTGGGTGGTTCAGGTGTGTGGGGAGGGGGTTCAGAAGGTCAGGAGACCCCAAAAAAACCCTAAAAGGGGTTTTGGGATCATGAGATTTCCCTAAAAAGGTTTTTGGGGTTGTGGGGTTGGTTTAAAACGGATTTTGGGGATACGGGATGCTTTTAAAAAGGTTCTTAAATCCCCTAAAATGCACCCAAAACGATCTTAAACCACCTAAAACCTTCAAAACCCTAAAAATCTCCTAAAAAAATCCCTAAAAACCCCAAAATCCCCCCGTACTGATACCAAGGATTTATAAATCCCCCATGGATTTGGGGTTTACCCCATAAATTAGGAAAGGTTTTACCCCATACATTTGGAAAGTTTTATCCCATAAATTTGGCATTTGCCCCATAGATTTGAAAGATTTTACCCCATAAGTTTAGAAGATTTTACCCCATGAATTTAGAAAGTTTTATCCCATAAATTTAGGATTCACCCCATAAATTTGGGAACTTTTTCCCCACAAATTTAGGATTTATCCCATAAATTTAGAAGGTTTTATCCCATAAATCTGAGAATTTTTATCCCATAAATTTAGGATTTATCCCATAGATTTGAAATGTTTTACCCCATAAATTTGGGAACTTTTACCCCATAAATTTGGGATTTGCCCCATAGATTTGGCAGGTCCTACCCCATAAATTTGGGATTTATCCCATAGATTTGAAAGGTTTTACCCCATAAACTTGAAATTCATCCCATAGATCTGAAAGCTTTTACCCCATAAATTTAGGATTTATCCCATGAATTTGGAAGCTTTTACCCCATAAATTTGGTAATTTTTACCCCATAAATTTGGGATTTACCCCATAGATTGAAAAGGTTTTACCCCATAAATTTGGGATTTATCCCATAGATTTGAAAGGTTTTACCCAATAAATTTGGGATTTATCCCATGAATTTGGAAGCTTTTACCCCATAAATTTAGGATTTATCCCATAGATTTGAAAGGTTTTACCCCATAAATTTGTGATTTATCCCATAGATCTGAAGGGTTTTACCCCATCAATTGAGGATTTATCCCATGAATTTGGAAGCTTTTACCCCATAAATTTGGTAATTTTTACCCCATAAATTTAGGATTTATCCCATAGATTTGAAAGGTTTTACCCCATAAATTTGTGATTTATCCCATAGATCTGAAAGGTTTTACCCCATAAATTTAGGATTTATCCCATGAATTTGGAAGCTTTTACCCCATAAATTTGGGATTTTTTACCCCATAAATTTAGGATTTATCCCATAGATTTGAAAGGTTTTACCCCATAAATTTGGAATTCATCCCATAGATCTGAAAGGTTTTACCTCATAAATTTAGGATTTATCCCATGAATTTGGAAGCTTTTACCCCATAAATTTGGGATTTTTTTTGGGCTGTGTTTTTTTCAGCCAGGATTCTGTTTAGCTTTGGGGTGCCCCTTACCTGGGGATGTTGTTTTTGGGGTCCTCGCTGTCGTTGGCCAGCCCCCCAAACAGGTAACACTTGTTGCCCACCAGGGAGAAGCTGTGGCCCAGCCGGGGGCAAGGGGGGGGTCCATTTTTGGGGGTCTTCGCCTTCAGACGCTTCCACTCCCACCTGGAGGCCTGAAATGGGGAGGGGGATTTGGGATCTGGGGAGGGGTCTGGCATTGGGGGG